ATGGAAAAGCAAAACGAGCGCATGCATCAAGTAATCGAACCTTGATGCCATGCCTACCAGTCCACTACACTACCCGCTCGGAATTCGACAGTAAAATCGACGGGTATTGAAAAAATATCAAGAGGGGTTATTGAAATCATGATAAGAAGTAAAGCAAATAAGGGTAATAAGATAGCGTTCAACAAGAGAAAGAATGACAATGGAGAACGACATAAGTTATGAAAAAGAGGAGATAAAAAAGAAAGGTGACAGACCACAGAGAATAAATTGATGCGAGGTAGCAGAAATGATCTGTCTGACGCAAATAACGATGGTTGAAGCAAGAGAAACGCATGTGTTGGAAAGAACAAGTGATAGCGAACTGAAGACAAGTGGATAGAAGCTGAAAAAGCAAGACAGTTACACGCATTTCATGTTGCCAAATCGTGGTATAATAAGAGCAGCGAGTACGAAAGAAAAAGATGGAAACTTTTTGTGTATAGGAACAGAGCAGATTTTCCCTTACAAAAATCTTTGCCTACCCCAACATTCGAAAGAGATGCTGCAAAAAGTGCTCGGGAATGATCACGCTGTAGAATGATGAGAACTCTTGACCGACTTAATACTACCTATATTTTTGTTGTTCCACAAGTCCGAATAAGAGTATCCGAGTGGGCAATAAGATTAAATGCACAATAGATTGAACGACGAATTATTGTGGGGTCTTACCGATGATATAAAGAAAAAATAAATCGTTATACAGCAGATGCAAAAAAGCCAACTCATAAGAATGTTGATTTTACTCAAAATGCTGATAGAAGCGCATGGTTGCGAAGCACATGCTTTCTGGTATAGAAGAGCTCGGTGCCGGCATACAAAACACAGATGCTGATAGAAGAGCATGATTGAAAAGGGCATGGCAGCCGTTTGAGACGTTAACTTGCTGCCTACACACCGCAAATCAGTTTATTTATGATCTGAAACAACTCCTCTTCAATGAAGTTGAGTCTGTCCGTTTTAATTCAACTTGCCGATCTCAATATACTCAGTCTGTCCGTTGTCTGACCTGACCCAAAGATTGTTAGGACGTTTGAGAAGAATGAGTATCAAGTACTTTTGGCTCCCAGGCTCTGAAAAAGACGACGAGGCCATCTGAGTATATCTATACAATCCATCTTCATCTTCACTGCATACTCCAATCAACAATACAGTAGGTCAAAATTTACCATGGAGTTAGCATAGTCGCTCCTATAGACCTTTTGCCGTTAAGATCTACACTGAACAGAAGAGTTGGATTAAGTTCAAGAGAGCTACTCTGTTTAGAGAGAGTTCTTATACGGACCGTGAGCTCCAAAAGTTGTTAGAGGGGCTGCCTATACGTCTCATGAAGGCTTTGCAGATCATTTAGGCTTTCCCATTTGCGAGATTGGATGCTCCACCTCGATGTGAAAAAAAAAGCCGAATCCTAGTTGCAGCTCAGAAGAAGCGAGTTGACACATTCTGGTCCTCCAGCAACTGAAAAGGAACGCGGGCATGTAGAAGAGTTCTTAAATCGCTTGATCTTCAAGACGACACTTCTGGAACGCTCTCTCTTACTTAGACTGCATCAAAAATTTCCTCAACCTCCCGCATTGCAAAGTTCCGTTCAGCTATGAGCACAACTCTGAGGTTGAAGAGATACTACATGTAACAACATACAGTCGAAAATGTTAAGTTACATTTGAGCTTCTGAATAGCGCCATTCGAGCGTTACCGAACAACTGGATCGAAAATACCCTCCATGAGCATTGTTGGACCTTATGTCCATAAAAGCCGTCTGAGGAACACAATTTCTTCATTACGGTTCAGACGTTCAGGGCTTATGGAAAGAAGTTCCTAAATATATGTGGCTCATGTAGATCGGGCTTACAGCTCCAATGAAGTTTTATAACAGTTTCATTGAATTATGCATACATTTGTTTATACCCAGAACGGAAAACTCGAGAAATACGCCGAATACTCACGGAACGCATTGCAGTCCTATTGTCAATCCTATTAACTACACTGTATCATGATCTGTGTTTTATATGCCTTCACCGAGCTCCTATCTTCACGAAGACTGCTCTATAATGAATGGTTATGACACCATCAACGAAAGATCAACTATTTCATCTTCGGGTTCACGCGTCAACGTTCTGCACTCCTCAGTTCATCAACCACCTGACAAACAAAAAAGAGACGTTCCTCTTCTCAACCTTGCCTATATTTCAGCATCTCAGACGAGCGATTGACTGATAGAAAAATGGTCGGCATACTGAACGGTTGAATGAGTCCTTGACTGTTAGTAAAATCCGCTACTCAAAAAAGGGACTCATATAACAAAGATAAGAAAAAAGAATTGTTGTTGAGAAAGAAAATGAAGGGAAGAAAATACGGATCATGCTCCCACTCTCACCATAATTATTATGGATACTTGTCAGAACACACTAGATCAAAGTATGTCGAAAAAAGGCTCATATTGATGCAAGATATCACAAAATTTTTTCGCGCAGCACTATACCTTGTATAGATGGGTGGCAAATCTGAGACAGGAGATGCATTGGTGTATAAAACATCGACTGGCACCCTTACACCATTGTAAAGGAGTTCACTCACCAATTTTGAACTAGCTAATTGTTATAGTTTGCGATAGAAAAATGGTCGGCATACTGAACGGTTGAATGAGTCCTTGACTGTTGGTCAAATCCGCTACTCAAAAAGGGACTCATATAACAAAGATAAAAAAAAAGAATTGTTGTTGAGAAAAGAGTGAAGGGAAGAAAATACGGGTTATGCTCCCACTCTCACCATAATTATTGTGGATATTTGTCAGAACACACTAGATCAAAGTATGTCGAAAAAAGGCTCATATTGATGCAAGATATCACAAAATTTTTTCGCGCAGCACTATACCTTGTATAGATGGGTGGCAAATCTGAGACAGGAGATGCATTGGTGTATAAAACATCGACTGGCACCCTTACACCATTGTAAAGGAGTTCACTCACCAATTTTGAACTAGCTAATTGTTATAGTTTGCAAAGATTGCTTCCTCTCTTTCGAGAAGATCTAACGCGGTTTGATGACATGCACGCAACAAATAACCTGCATGCCAATCCGAAAGAAAAACTGCTTTCGAGCAATTGGAATTCACATAATATGCGATCTGCAACCCACATGAATGAATATGGAAGTTCCCAAGAAGTAAG